ATCTAGGGTAAAATTTTTGTGGGGACATAAATAAATAAAAAGAGAAATATGTGGCTAGATGAAGGTTTGAACCGTGGTCTAAGGGGGGACAAGTAGTCGACTGAAACCATTATGCTACGAAAACTTTATTGTTCTTTATGCAAATACATGTATATCTATATTTTTGTGGGGCAACTGCCTCCTCCTTGGTGAACGTAGGTTCGCCACTGTGTGTAACACACATGAAGCTTAAAAGTTTTGAAACGATTAGAGTCGAACAGAATCAGTATAAAGACCTCTACAAAGTTTACGGGATAATATAATACTAGAATAAGACATGCGCCTTACACAGGGTAAGTATATGTAATTAAAATATAAAATTTTAGTATTGACGAATTTAAAATTTACATATGATTGTTTTTATATGTATTTGGAGTTTTTATATAATTATCTATACATAGAACTAGAAAAAATCTAATCTATTAAAAGGGGAGTACAAAAAAAAAGAAATAACCCTTAGTTTTCCTCAAAAATTACAATAGAATGCCACTAAAATTAAAACAGTGTAGTTTTGTTCTTATATGGGCTTAAATATAAGTTTAAGATCCATTAATTTAAAATCAAAATCAAATTGCCCAAAATTAAATTGTCCAATTCAATTTTAAAACTAATTTTAAATCAAAATCAAATTGCCCAAACTAAATTGTCCAATTCAATTTTGAAAATGGTATTTGTTGATAAAATTGCTAGAGCTCTTATTTTTGTGAATCTTTTTAACTGTTGTTGTGTAAAGAATTATTTTTTAAATAAAAAATATCTACGAAATCTAATTTTAAATTATAATTCCAATCACAAAATTTATAGTATAATTTAATATAATACACACTATCTAAAAAACATTCTAATATTTTACATTTAATTATGAGCAATTTAGCTAGAAAACCATGAAAGATTATGAAATTAGCATATTACCAAAGTGATGAAAGAGATTGTGTACATGGTGGCACAAGAAGAGGTGATAGAAAGACTAAAACACCCTGCATGTTGGACGTACCTTCCCGGTTTTGAATTTATGGGTAGTTGTGTCTGACACAAGATCATCAATATATTTTGCAAGATAAAAATGAGATTCCGTTTACATTAGCTTTTCTTTTTATCTTTATCTTTTCTTTTTCTTTTTTGTAACACACATTAGCTTAAGTTGCATCAATAAGATAAATTTATTATCCATGTCTCACAAAATCTCTGAACCAAATCTTCGAAAAGATTATGCTCAGATTTTTTATAGGTTTTAGAGTAATTAAAAAATTACAAGTGGTCTTAAACCACTAGTAAGATCCATTATTACCAACAAATAAATATAGATTAGTCTCAGTCACTTGGCCGACTACGATTGCAAATTACGCGGATAGCGACTACATTAGCCGGATAAGATTATATTTAACGTCTTAATATAAACTTTTACTGATCTAACAAATGGTCGACTATATACCTAAGGAATAAACCTTAACCCAATAATCTCAACCCTAAACCCTAAACCTAAAACCCTACACTCTAAATCCTAAACCCTAAACCGTAAATATTAAACCCTAAACCCTAAACCCTAAACCCTAAGTTAAACCCTAAACTTCAATTTCCTAAACCCAAACCCTTGCATATCTCTTAACACTGAACCTTAACATAAATCGCTTACATTACAAGTTGACCTAAACCCTTAATACTGATCCAGTATCCCCAACAAATAAATATAGGTTGGCTTCTGTCACTTAGCCGGCTACGATTGCAAATTTCGTGGATAACACTAGATTAGCCGGATACAGTTATAATTAACGTCTTCTATAAACTTTTACTCATCTAACAAATGGTTGACTATAAACCTAACGAATAAACCCTAACCTAATAATCTAAACCCTAAATCCTATACCCTAAACCCTAAATCCTAAAATCCTAAACCCTAAACCCTAAATACTAAACCCTAAACACTAAGCTAAATCCTAAACTTCAATTTCGTAAGCCCAAACCCTTGCATATCTCTTAACCCTCATCCCTTTAACACAAATCCCCTACATTACAAATGGTCCTAAACCATTAGAACTGATCCAATATCCCCAACAAATAAAAATATGTAAGCCCAAACCCTTGCATATCTCTTAACCCTCATCCCTTTAACACAAATCCCTTACATTACAAATGGTCCTAAACCATTAGAACTGCTCCAGTATCCCCAACAAATAAAAATATGTTAGCAACAGTCACTTGGCCGGCTACGATTGAAAATTACGTGGATAAACAGTAGATTAGCCGGGTATGATTATAAATAACGTCTTATATCAATTGTTACTCATCTAACAAATAAAAATATTTTAGCTTTAGTCACTTGGTCGGGTACAATTGCAAATTACGTGGATAAACACTAGATTAGCCGGGTACGATTATAAATAACGTCTTATATCAATTGTTACTCATCTAACAAATGGTCAACTATAAACCAAACAAATAAACCCTAACCCAAACCTATAAACCTTAAACCCTTAACCCTAAACCTTAAATACTAAACTCTAAACACCAAGCTAAACCCTAAACTTCAATTTATTAAACCAAAACCCTAGCATATCTCTTAACCCTAAACCCTTAACACAAATCTCTTACATTACAAGTGATCCTAAACCATTAGTACTGATCCAATATCCCCGACAAATAAATATAGGTTGGCTTCAGTCACTTGGCCGGCTACGATTGCAAATTTCATGGATAAACACTAGATTAGCCGGCTATGATTATAATTAACGATTATAATCATATCGTATCTACGCCGAAACGTCTGACACAGAAGATTTGGAATCCAAACACAAAACGTTTAATCGAAATCTTTTGTGTCGATCATTTGTTAGATGAGTAAAAGTTTATTGAAGATGTTAATTATAATCATATCCGGATAATCTAGTGTTTATCCACGAAATTTGCGTAGCCGGCCAAGTGACTGAAGCCGACCTATATTTTGTGTCAAAACAAAACGACTGACACAAAAGATTTGGATGACCAAAGATTTGAATATCTATGCAGAAACGACTGACACAAAAGATATGGTGTATCTACAACTCCTAGCGCATGGAAGAGTGGGTGCTACCCGTTGGTTAAGGTCATGTAAGAGGTTATGACAAAAGGGTATGAGGGTAAAACAACTCATTAAACAGTAACAGTTTTTTTCTCTTTGGTATACCGCAAATTACTCATAAGTTTTTTTGATAGGAGAGCAAATTTCTCTTTAATTATTTAGTTTATCAAGTAAAAAAAAAGTAAGATATAAAAAAATACAACTTGATAATTATAAAAAAGACGCTAAACAAAATGAACAAGATACACCGACATCATAACTCAATAACCTATTAAACATAAATATAAATAACTTTTATAATTAATACAAACATATATTTATACAGAACATACATCCGCGCGGGCGCGTGGGTCAAAAGCTAGTTGTAATTAGAACTGTAGATCAAAACTTAAAATTTAATGGGTCTGGTTCATATATCTTTTCACTTTTCACTGTTCGAATAATGGAAAATGAACGGAGTGTTATAGAGCTTAATTGGTAAAGCATTATCAAGTTCCCTAATACTTTCTTGAGAAATTGCTAAAACTAGCACATTCATGATACACTATTTCACTTTTACATTAATCATCTTTACCCTTAAAATTTTGATAGTAAAAAGATCATAGTACCCTTAATTAATTTTGTAGAAAATATATAGTTTAGAATTTAGGATTAAAAGTTAAGAATTTATGATTTAGGGTTAAGAATTTAGGGTTTAGAATTTAGGGTTTAGGGCTTAGAATTTAGGGTTTAAGATTTCATATTTAAGGTTTAGGGTATAGAATTTAGGGTTTATAATTTTAGGGATAGGGGTCTAGGGTTTATGGTTTAGAATTTAAGGTTTAGGGTTTAGGGTATAGAATTTAAGGTTTAGGGTTTAGGGATTAGAAATTAGGGTTTTGGGTTTAGGGTTTAGAATTGAAATTTTAGGGTTTAGGATAGAATTTTAGGGTTTAGGGATTGAATTTTGAAATAGTATAATTCGAAAGAAAAAAATTGTTTTATTTATTTTATATATAAAGAATAAGGGTATAAGAATCTTTTATCCTTTAATGAAAAGTATATTTTTGAAAATGTCTTCTTTCTTAAGGTAAATTTGAATTAGTGTACCCAAGAATGTGTATTTATGTAATTCTCCTTACTTTCTTAAGAAGCAGTTAGTATAATATTTCCATTTAGAATATATAAAATTTCAAAATTAATTTAAAATAATTTATTTATTTATCTAATAATATGAGAAAATTATATTTTTAAAAACCTTTTCTAAATAAAAACTAATTTTATAAAAAAAATTACTTAAATTTTCAAGGATAATTATGTTTTAAATAATATTATTCATATGATATGAGATAAATAAATATATATATATAACATAAACACCTACTAAAATAAAATTATTTATTCATATAATTTTATAATTCTTGTAACTTATTATAAAAATATTAGACCTTAATCATAAAAGTTTATGTGAGATTTTTGACAATTTTAGTAATTTATACTCGTTTTGAAAATTTCAAAATACAATACATATAAAAAAGATCTAAATTTTATTATATAATTAATCTAATTGTGTAATTTATTTTAATAATAAAAAATTAAATAAAAATAATATAAAATATACATAATGTTAACATAAATTTATTATTTAAAATCATTAATAATTATATATATTTTAATCACATTAAGGAGTTAACGTAAATTTTATTTAAGAAAATAATATATAAAAAAACATTAGGAAGTTACATAAGTTTTATTTAAGAAAATAATATATAAAAAATTTAGTTTTGGTATATTATTTAAATTGATGTCTTATATGAAACTAACAGACCATATTTTAAAATTATACTTTATAAGAAATACTTTAGAATCCTTCTAAAGTAAAATATAATGCATAGACATAAGATGAAATTATTTTTAATTAATATAAATTTAGTGTTACAACTTTTCAAATATTTTTTAATATATAGAGGGTAGGAGTTCCAGCTTTATGGCCTGAAAAGCTTGAACACATTCTGTTGAAAAGATTCGAAGGAAGCAAACACAAAATAAGATAAAGAAAAAAAGATAAGAGAACACGATACGACAATAACTCACAAAACATGACCCAAACCAGATCAAAATCTCAGTTAACCAATACAACCCGGTAGAAACTTTGATACATTTTACTTCGAATTCTGGTTTTAGCATTACCATTCTACCGAACTTGAACAATACCGGCACTAACCAGCTTCTGTATCTTGTTCATCACCATCGGATTTTTCATATGCTCTTGTGCAGCTTTTGGGTTCTCTTGCAAATCAACCAGTACCTGCGAAATTCATTCAAAAGACATCACCACAGTGTTGTCAAACTCAGCCGGTGAGCCCGATACCATTTTCACTTTTGTGTATACCTGTCTCATCACCGGATCAGACAATATGTTCTGAACTTCCGGATCTTGCATAGCCTTTGCTTGTCTCTCCTTCAATTCTTCCGGAGTCAAATCACCCCGGTTCGCTTTGTTTATCTGCTCCACACATCTGCAAGATACCATAGCAATCAATCTCACTAAACCGACTCAGATTACATGACTTTAATAGTACAAGTTGCAGACCTTCTAACACCATCAAGCAATTCCTGGTTCTTAGGATCATGGTTCAGCCCTTCTTGATACGTCTCCATGGCTTTGTCGTATTCCTTCATGAAAAACTGAATAGCTCCTTTCCTACTGTATCCTTTGGAGAAACTTGAGTCAAGCTCAATGCATTTCTCAGCATCTTTCAGTCCCTCTGGTAATGCTCCTAGCTTTGTGTAACAAGCAGCTCTGTTGCTATACGCCTACAGCCCAACAAAGAAACACTCACTAAGATTCCACATACTGCTCATGTGTAACAAAAAAGCTCTTACCCTCACGTCCTTCGGGTTTCTTTTGATTGCTTCTGAGTAATGCTTCACTGCCTCTGGATACTTCTGTTCTTTAAAGAATCCATTACCTGCATCAAAGGAGTAATTGTCAAATGTTTTATCCTTGTATCAAATAGCGCAGGCAAGCAATGCGAGATTGTTATCAGAGTTTGACAATACCTTTCTCACGCTCCTCCTCGGCTATGTTAGGATCAAAGTACTCCTGTTGCTCCAGCTCTTTCTTAGCTTTCTCAGCATCGTTTAGTTTCTTCAACGTATCCGGATTACGATGCTCCGTAAGAGCTTTCTGGAAAGTCTCGATCGCAGGTTCAAAATCCCTCGAACTTTTAGCCATTTTCACCAGCGCAGATCCTTTCCTAGTTAAAGCTTTTGCTATCATCTTGAAGTCAAAACGAAGCTCTCTGCCTCTCTCAACAGCCTTGTCACAGTCTTGAATGCACTCCTCATACTGACATTCAATGAACAGCGTTTCAAAAACGGCAGAATAAATACTTGATCCAAACGAAACTATTCTATGATCAAAATAACTTCACTAAAATAGGAAGACATAAGCAGCAAAGTTAAATTAACAGAGAAATCTACCTTTCCAGAACTTGTTAATCATCACAGAGCACAATACACAACTAACATATACTTCATGAACCTTAGATTCCATTTTTCCTCTAAAGTTAGGACCTTTAAACCAAATATAAGACTTAAGCATAACCCAGAACAGAGCAACACAACAAAAAAACATAAATGAACTCTCAAAGGAGTTTAAAGCAAATACCTTTCCCATCTCAAGAAAAACAGCAGCACGATTCGTGAGATACGATATATCTTCATCATCAAGCTCCATCGCCTTACTATAATGTTCAATAGCCTTCTCAAACTCCTTCTTCTTGTAAGCAGCGTTTCCTAACTCTTTCTCCTTCTTCGCCTCCTCCTTCCTCTCTTTCTTCTCCCTCTCCTCCTCCGTCACCTCCATAGCCTCCGCCTCCGGTTCAACCACCGGTTCAACTTTCTTGACCGGCTCCGGACTCGACTCAGCCTCCTGCATCTCCGCATCTTCTCCACCACCGAACTTAACATTCAACAAAACACCCAACGCCTGCATAACTCTCTTATCCTTCATATACAAGTTAAGATTATTAGGGTTCCTCTGAATCTCCTTCATCGTCTTAACGAAATCCGCCTGCTGCAAATAAGCCCTAGTTCCCGGATCAGCCGTCAGCTTCGCCCACATCTCCTCTCCTTGAAACGCCTCAACGAACGGATTCGACGATGGCCCGCCGCGTGGCTTCGACGCGTCGGCTAAACCCGACTTCAGCGTCTCGTTGCTCGGATCGATCTCGAGGCCTCTCTTGTACGCATCGGTCGCTTCTTTGTACTGAGAGAGGCCCATGTAGGCGGCGCCTAGTCGGCTGTAGCCTTTGGCCCAGTCGGGTTTGAGCTCCACGGTTTTCTTGGCGTCGGAGAGTGCTTCGGCGTAGCGGTGGAGGGATGCGTAGGCGGCGGAGCGGTTCGAGTAGAGGATGTGGTTGGTTGGGGAGAGGTTGATTGCGGAGGTGAAGTGGGTGATCGCGGAGGCGTAGTCGCCCGAGGAGAAGGCGGCGTTTCCTTTTGATTTTGCTTCTTCTGCCATTGGAGTTGTGTGGTGGCATCTTCGATGATGGCGAAAGCTTAAAAAACAAGTGACAAGGGGTGTTAGGAGAGAGGAGACGAGAGGGTTCTCGAAATTTCGATTTGTTTTTCTTCGTCCAGAACGTTCGTTCGTTCCTATAGTATAAGAAGCCGTGGGAAGAGGAAAAAAAAAGATTTAAAACAAAAACTATTATAAAAGTTTAAAAACGCTCAAGGGGGAGTGTCGAACCCTCCGACCTTGTGGTTATAAGCCTCACGCTCTAGCCAGCAGAGCTACTAAACCTTGCTGTTATGTTAAACCTGTAAATATATAAGTTGAGACAGAAAGGGTTGTTCTGAAGCTTTTTGAGGTAGGAAAGAGCATACTAAACACACTACAGTTGGTTTAATATCGCCTATAATATTTTAGTTTCGACTCGTATAACTCGTTACCTTATAAATTTTATTATTAGTTAATTATCATATAAGCCATACATGTCTATTTTGTTGTATAGTTTGAATTATTTATGTTGGAGGAGGGTTTCACCTCACTCTGGACCCGATTCGAGAATCCTATCTTGACTTGCTGATAAACCTAGAGAAGGATTCATCGTGATTTGTTACAGAAAGGGGAGAAGGATAGATGAAGATCAGAGATGAGAAGAGAAAGAGGGAGAAAGAAAGTTTGAGGAACAATCCTCTTTGATAATTGATCGTACTATTCGATAAACATTACAATAGAGAGTTCAGAGTAATATAAAGAAACTAATGGGCCTAAATAATAATAAAAGAGATAGTTAAGAGGCCCTGCGAATTGGCCCAAGTAGATAGAATGAGTCGTATCAATACTCCCCCGCTGATGATACCACTTGTCCTCGAGTGGACTGCAACAAAACAAGTAATCCTTAGTTCTGGCATTTTCTACTGATCATGCTTGTCAACTTCCTCAAATGACCATGAGAACCTACACTTAAGTAACCCTGCTGTTGGTAGCTCCCATCTCCTGTTTCTCCACCAACACTCCAGACAAAGATCGGATCTAGTGGACAATTCACCCTTGCATCAACACTCTCAACTCTTCTTGGCTTAAAAGGCGGTTTGATAAAGTCACAGCCTTTCCCTCCTGGATCAAAAGCTAATAGAACAGCCACAATAACTTCCAGTGGTAAACCAGTGTCTACTCTCTTTGAAACATCTTCTGACAGCCCAATCATAGATATATCACTCCAGACCAAACTGGTATGCCCATAAAAGCCAAACCAGAATTCTCCCTTGTAGTAATTGAACGCCTTCTTCAATACAACAATTGAACATTCTCCACCATCTTTCAGTCCTTCCCGAGCTTGATCAATAATGTAGAGAGAAGCTTCTGCACATGAAACTAATCTTCATGGTTCCAACACATGACTGTTGCAGTTTACGTGACACCATTTACAGTAGTGAATATATCCCATAACTGAGTTTCTCTCTGTGACGTTTTTACTCCACAAAAAATTTATCTTCTTATTACCACTCCAGATCATGTCACTACCATCGCACTGAAATCTCTGTATCTCGACAAGATGAACAAAAATGGATTTCGCAGGATCCCAAACACAACCTTGTGAGCTCCACGAAGACCTCTTATACCCCACATTTACATATAAATGAGTGTTACCATCCGTCTTCCACTTACTGTTATGAACTCCCAGTCCGGCTAATAACCTCAAAACCTCATCACTTTGATATGTCCTTAACCAATCCGCAAGACCAGAATCTGAACCTCGTGGATCCCATACGCTACAAATCCACTCAACCTGAGACGAGCTGTTGGTTGGATTCTTGCTCATTCCCATACTAACAATTTGTAGCCCATTGCTCCTACTATCAGTCTCAGTCATTAGCTCTTCAAGCTTCTTAACAATGTCAGGGTCAGTCTCATTCTTCAACACAAGCAACTTGTTAACAGGTTTTGTCTCTGTCACTGCAATTTTCTCAGATGGCTCATTAGGTCCCTGAGATTGATTCACTGCCTCAATCACTATATCCACAGGATCATTCCTCTCGTGTCTTGATTCCAGCTTACAACTAAATTCATCTTTTTCACCAAGCTCCCATAAGCGTCGACCAATGGAAAGTGGCTTCATAAGGAAAGTTTTCGTTAACCACTCTATCCATTTCTTCACACTCTTTGAGAATATGAAACTGCAAAAACCATGTCTCGTAAGCAACACTACTATCTTCTGACCCTTCTTCACTAGCTTATGAACACTGACTGATTCCTCAGAATGATTTATTCCATTGTTCAAGTGAGCCACTGAACCTCTTGAAGCTTTCTTCACTTTGTACTTTTTCTGACCACCATAACGCTCTGTGGGTCTAAACGACTTTTCTCCCATGGTTCCTTGTAACTTAACTTCTTTACTGATGCCTATCCTCCCCCATGTCAACGGAACAGACCTGCCGCCATGTGGATCCTTCTTCCAAGCTTTGAATTTACATCTTCGCTGACTTCCACGTTTTAACATGACCTTATGAAACCAATGTTGAGCACTTTGATAGAGCTTTTCACTGCTCTTATACTTACTCGGTTTCTTAAATTCAGACACCAATAATGTCTCATCATGCAAGGACTCCATCTCAGCATCATTATCATCATGTTCTACCGTCTTATCTTCCTCAGCAAAGATACTTTGATCGCCTATCAATGTATCAACATGACTATCTATATCTATAGGAGCAAGATAAGTAAACCCATACCGAAAAAGATGAGACTCATTCTTAACATTTGTATCAACAGTAGATCTCTTTCCTAGTCGGATTCGCAGAGGATTTTTACGATCTCTACAAACTAGAGAATCTGGAAACATACCCAAGTTCAAACAAGCTTGTGCCAGCTTCTGTTTCCTTGCCTTCTTCTCGCTAGGGATGTATTTCTTCATCGTCACAGATTTCAAGCTCAAACCCATACCAACTGTACGAACAATTAGCTCTGACGAACACCACAATTTCAATCTTCTTCGAGCTAGCCTCTTGAGATGTGTTTTAAGGCATGGTTTATGGTAAGTGTTTGTTGGTGTCAAAATTGGTCACGACGGAATCAATGGCTAAAAGTCACCGCAAAAGTAAAAATAAAAATACGTTTTATAAAACTCGAGAGATCGTTTTATAAAACTCAAGAAATCGTTTTTTAAAACTCGATAAATCATTTTATAAAACTCGAGAAATCGTTTTATAAAAATCGAAGAATCATTTTATAAAACTCGAGAGATCGTTTTATAAAACTCGAGAAATCTTTTTTTAAAACTCGATAAATCGTTTTATAAAACTCGAGAAATCGTTTTATAAAACTCGAAGAATCATTTTATAAAACTCGATAAATCGTTTTATAAAAACTGAGAAATCGTTTTATAAATCCAAAGAGATTTCTGAACAAAGGAAATCCGCGGAAACCTCGGAAGATCGTTATCTCAGAAAAAAAAAAACAAACGTCGATTACACGATCGTCCGAATTAAGCACAAAACCGCAAAAAACCGAAACCGCCGTAAAACGCGAACTAGTCTCGTCCCGACTAGTTCGCACAAGGGCGAACTAAGCCAGCCGGCTTAGTTCGCCTTTGGGCGAACTAGAAGCTTCCCAAGAGGCGCTGACTTTGCCCCAAGGGTTTTTATCGCCTAGCTCGCCATACGGCGACCTGGCCAAGCTGGACTAGCTCACCATACGTCGAGCCTACCATCCCGAGCCTCGATCTCCCACATCCTTGATTCAAGGCATACGTCCTTCGACACGATCGTATTCCGAATCACGGTCGAAATGTCTCATGTTTTGTCTCGATTTGTCCTATCATTCGAGTTCTACGATAAAAACCGTAAAACTTTGTTTTCTCGAAAAGAACTCAAGGAAATCGTATAAAACGGCAACGGTTAAACAAAACACCGAATATTGCCTAAACTATACGATTTATTTGAGATTTTTTGTAAAAATCGTACAAAGCGCGTTTTCAATAAAACCCTGAGTAAATAGTAGAAAACGGCAACGAATAATCGAAACATCAAACATTGCCTAGATTTACGATTAACTCGAGAAAATTATCTAAAAAACAGCATCGTATCAGGAAACGATCTCGTCCAAAGTCGTAAAACGGATTTATCGCAAAACGGCTCGGAAAGTCCTAAAATGCGATAAAAGCCACTCGCGACTTTAAAACGAAATCCAAACCAATGATACAACGACGTTTTTGCGATTTACTCGCAGAAATAAGATAAATGTCAAGTTTGAGGATAAATAGAAGATTTCCGCGGGAAAAAAGGAAAGATCGAAATAAATGGAAGATTCCCGATAAACTCGAATCTGGGGGAAATGGAAAGACTAAACCGCCTTGGAAGGGAGTATATAAGCAAGAGGCATAGGGCAGAAGCGAGGGGACGAAATCCAGAGCTCTCATCTGAGACTTTTACAACTTTTCTAGACATATAATTTTCCGCACTTAGAAACTTAGGATTTTTCTCGACAAGTTCGGTTTCTATGACTGGCGCTCAATTACCAGACGAACTTTCCCAGGCAGTTCGATCTCTGGTCCAGCTCTACCAACTGAACTACGTTCGACTTGATCCTCGAAAGGGGTACATAGGCAGCCTTTCATAATGTTCAGTCCGAAATCAATCAAATCCTTTTTCTTATCTTTTTCCGTCTTTTGTTATCGAGCTGCGACTCGATTAGGTTTAAGATTTTTATGTTGATAACTCGCTGACGGCCCTGCGGCCAAAGCTTTTGTAAACCCTTGTAATGATCACAACGCTCTTATGCGAAATCGAAATAAGATCTACTTTTTCTATAAATTCGTTTTATTACGTTTTTCATATTTTTCCGCATTTATTTGGTTACTTGTCGTTGGCTTTCGCAGAGATCCGGTTCCTCTGGAAAATTAGGATTTTCTTAAATTTCCTTATTTAACGAAAATCGACAGTAGGTGAATTTCGGTTCCCACAGCGTTGTTGATCAATACTCTTTTATATCTGAATCCACAGTTAGGTTTCAGATCTTTAAATTTTGCCTGGAGAGGAGCGTTCTTCTCACCATCCAAAAACTCAAATCTATCTTGAGTCTCCAGGTTCAGATCCATATATGGATCTTCCACAGTTGGCACCTCATGTTGATTTTGACACACCATCTTCTCAACGATTTCAAGTAACGGATTGGAGTCCATCTCGTCTTCCAATGCCATGTTCTCACGAAGCTCCTTGAGCGATGATTTCAATTGCTGCAAACCGATGTGTAGCCTAGAAAACATCTCGTATATACGAGACTCTTCTTTACGCCAGATCTCGTACTCCTTTTGATATGTACCTATCCATCTCTCCATTAGCGCTATAATCTCATCCCTTGATTTGGAGTTCGATGTTGAATTCGGAAACGCACCGTCAAGAGGATGACTGTGCTCTGATACCATTGATAAACCCAGAGAAGGATTCATCGTGATTTGTAACAGAAAGGGGAGAAGGATAGATGAAGAGCAGATATGAGAAGAGAAAGAGGGAGAAAGAAAGCTTGAGGAACAATCCTCTTTGATAATTGATCGTACAATTCGATAAATATTACAATAGAGAGTTCATAGTAATATAAAGAAATTAATGGGCCTAAACAATAATAAACGAGATAGTTAAGAGGCCCTGAAAATTGGTCCAAGTAGATAGAATGAGTCGTATCACTTGCCTAGACCAAAATAGACAGCATGCCCAGGTCCATCCAGAACTAGGAGAAAGTCAAAGTATTAAAGGCAGTCATTAAAAGTTTGATACCCTATGTTGATCATGTGACAATTATGATCCAACCTTGAACACCTATAAAAACAAGAGTGATCAAAGACAAGAAGAAAAGATCCCAATTCTCTTAAAACAATTTCTATACTTTAAAATACATACTTATTCACAGATATTTTCTGTATAGGTATTTAAACTATACTTGTAATATCAATCATATGCTCTTTTATATAAAATCATCAATATACGTATTTTTATATACAGTAAAAACCTTTATAAATTAATAATATTGAGACTTTTATATTTTATTAATTTATAGAGATGTTAATTTACGAAAAACATTTCTTATTTCGATTTTTTCTTTTAAGAGTAAGAAAAATATTTGATTTTAGTGTATAAATATTAACTATTTTTTTTTTGAAAAATGACATTTATAGTCATTTTATTATATTATTTAGTGTATATAACACATATTTTAAATAATGTAAATATGATTTTAGATATAAAATTACTAAATGTCATCAAAATATATTAAGTGTTAAAAAATATAAAGATAATTCTATTATGATAATAAAACAAACAATATAATATAGGCTTTTACTTATATAAAATAGGTATACATATAATTTATTAATTTATAGTTTTAATAGGACTATATATTTACATAGAATTTCTGAAAAAATTTGATTGTTTTATTATTTTATCGATTTGTGTCAAATTTTGAACATGTCCAAATTAGGACCGTCAAAATTTATTACTTTAAAGAGATTATTAATTTATCGAATATTAATTTATAGAAATTCTACTATATATATTCTTAGTTCTTAGACATTACACATGTCAACGAAATCCTAAACATTCTGAAGTGTATTTTGAAAAATAAACTAATTGATACCAAACATTTTTTTTATAAATCTACCAAATTAAACCGAATTTCATATCAAATTTTTTGTTTGGCGGATTCAGTTTGATTTAAAATTCAAGCATATTACCTATTAGGGGTAGGCGTTTGGGTATCCGTTCGGGTTCGGGTCGAGTATTTCGGGGTTTCGGGTATTTCGGATATTTCGATATTGGGGTTTAGAATCCGTTCGGGTATTTTACATATCGGGTCGGGTTCAAATATTTCTAGTTCGGGTGCGGTTATTACGGGTCTGGTTTGGATATTTAGATTTTAAAAGAAAAAATTCAAATTCTTTATAACTTAAGTTTCATGTATATAACAGTTAACTATTAATTTAACTGTTTTAAAAATATTTAATAAGTTAGACGATTAATACGCTTGTAAATAAATTATTGAAAATAAAAATCATTATTTTGGTTGTTATTTCTGAATATTGGATGCAAATTTTGTTTAAAATATGAAATAAGAAGTTTAATATGCATTTTAAATGAGTAACAAATCATTTTTTACAATTATATGTATATTATCTGATATTAATTTATATATAACATTAATATAAATATTTTTAATAAAATGAGACAAATAAACTAGGAATAAATAGGTATATATACATATGTTCGATTATCTTCGGATACCCGTTCGGGTTCGGATATTACCCGTTCGGATTCGGATATCCAAACTCTCCTAACTCAATACCCATTCTGGTATTCTGCTACTTTGGTTCGGATTTCGGTTCATATATTTCGGATCGGGTTCGGGAAGAGTTTGGGAATCGGATAAAATGTCCACCCCTATTACCTGTGGTCTCTGGCCTATGGTCCCATACATTTTCAGAGTACAATATTTAGCTGGTTTTCATAGTTACAGTCTGTCAAATCATATTGTTTGCAGTTTTTCTTTGTCATTTACAAAAGTCACCAGAATTTATATCATAGAGAAAAATGGCAAAAAGAGCAAATTAAACAAAAAAAAGCAGGGAGAAAGACAGAAAAAGAAAACAAATTACAGAAAGGATCCAGCTGGAATTTGTCAGAGAGACAAAAGCTGAAATCCAACGAAAAGATAAACTATATTCTTTCCACCTCACTTCTCATCATCAACATGGGACCTCATAAATATTAATTTTTCATTTTCTTCAATATATTTTAATTTGAAATATAAATAAATAAATAAATAAACCGTCAGTTACATTTTGTTCGTTGTACTTGAAATCTATGTAATTAAAAAGGTTAAAAATGTTTACTTGTTTGCATTTTGAGTAAATAGATTAGAAAGTTGATCATTGTTACTAATCGGTGTCTAAAGCAATTTTTTTTTAAAAAAAACGATTAAATCGCCCAGACACCAATTAGTATACTCAACATTGTGAATTTCGCGTTTAAACAGCCGCTTAATCGAATACAATGGCTAAAGTTTGGGGTTCAAATTAGTTAAAACTATGAAGCTTTGGTTAAAAAAAAATACTAATAATAACCACCAAAACTTATAACAATTTCAACATTCAATGAATAATCTTCCATTCTTCTTAAATAATCAAGAGACTCCCGGAAAAAGAATAGAACAACAGATAAAACAAATAAAAAAAAAGTCAGAGAAATCCAACAAGCCCCAAATAGAAGAACTGTGGAAACGTAAGAACAAGAATCATCATCTCAACAAAGCCCTAGAAAAATACAAGCAAACCCTCAAGTTACATTTCAATGCAGAACCATCATCACCAAAGCCATTACCACCATTGAAAGACTCGTGAATCCAATGCTCCTAGTGGCCGATGATGAAATCTTCTGTGGCCTGAAAACAACAACAAAAATAAAAGAATGAAATCAAAAACAAAAACTTTTACAAAGTATAAAATGTGTTCTTGAAGTAATCTTTACTTTTGTAATTTCTGTAGAGCACCACAGTAAAGGACATTAGCAGGCGCCCCGAACTCAGTCTTGTTGTTTTCATCTGGATTAATAACTCTAACATACGTTTCTTGTCCGAGATACCAAGAATCAAGATTCTCTGTTCTCAGGTTCCAAGCTCCAGGATTGTCCAAAGATATCAAGATCGCTGACCATGCCCCTGGATACACCTGAATGGTTGAGCGTGCAATACCGTCCCATTTGTTGTAAGTTCCTCTACTATTCTCTGTCCACTCTCCGTAGTCCATTCTGCAACCAAAACAATCTCAATAAGAAAAAAATTTGCACTCACAAATGAAGGAGAAACAGCTAACTAAGTAACTCACCCGACAGCGAAGAAGGCATAGCCACTCATGTGGTAGCTTTGCATCTTAGTGTCATTGTTCTGAAGAATGACTTCCATGAAACCGCGGTAAGTGCCATTGATGATCGAAGTCTCCATCCTAGGTGGTCCAGTTAAAGGTCTCTTAGGAAAATCAAGCTTATAAACTCCTTTGACCTTATGCTTATCAGCTAGCCTTATAGGTGTAGAAGGATTCACAAACGATATGCCACTAAGTGTTGTCCTTCTTTTGCCATTGATCTTCACAGGCGGCTTGTTCCTCAGAACATAGACATCGGTTACATTGATGGAACCGTACTTAAACGAACCTTGTGGGTTAGGACGTGCTCCACTTGCTGAAACATTCCATCTGCATCATCAACAACAACAACATTAGTTCAAACTTGATGAAACTACAAGAGTCTTGATTACTAACCTGATGGATCTTGCTTGATTCATGGAGAATGTTTTGTCGAATTCATCTTGTGGTCCAGGGGGTAAGTGACCTTTTGCCTTTCCTTTAGAGTTGGTGTAGTGCAAGATACCAACTCCAGTGACTCTTCTCCATATGGTTTCATTAACAATCCGAGCACTGGCGACAATGTAGTAATCAGAGCTTGCGTTTTGGTCCATAGTAACCAAGAAGGAGTAAGACTGCCCAACGTGAATATCCAAGCTTGTGTAGTTTTGTTGAACTGTGTAGGATCCTTCAGATTCCGCAAGAACTAAGTTGTGGCCTTGGATCCTAAAGTTCAAACTCGTCGAGATTCCCACATTCGATACTCTAAGTCTATAAGTCTTTCCTGTTGTTTTTGTCACAAGAGAATAACACTTTTAAAAACTCCAAAACAAAAAAACTGTTTGATCCAAGAAAGCTAGTAGTACTCACCCGGATGGACTGTGATGGTTTCGTAATCGATTCCATCAGGAACAAGAGTCGTATTGTATTGGTAAGGTCCTTTTCCGTTAATAAGAACCCCATCAGGCATTCCAAGATCTTTACCATCATCTAAAGCCTTCCTCAAAGCCTACATTTTTCATAAACAAGTGTTATTGCTTGACCTGCAAGGTAAAACAAAATGGCAGAAACTAAATAACTACTAACCGTGTGGTTCCTTGTGTACCAATCACCAATGGCAATGGTGATATCACCTTCTGGAGTCGAGAAAGGGACTGGAATAACTGATCTAGGGTTGACAATGAAGGAGCCAAACCCACCAGAAGCTCTTTGGAAATGAAGAGATGGGAAGTAGAAGAAGCTTCCGATTTGGTCCTTAACTTGAAACTCATAAGTCCAGTTCCACTTTGGTGGGATTGGACAGTTAGTTCCTGCAAGTCCGTCTTGCCAAGAAACACGTCTCTGTTGGATTCCAGACCTGTTAAAAAACATCAAAACATATTTAGAAATCAGAACACTTTATATTCTCCAGACAAAAGATTTTAGGGAATATCTTACCAGTGAAGAAGAAGTCCCTCGTCTAGTTTGTTTCTCACATTCACGACCAGGTTTTCATTGGTCGTGACATTGATTGTGGGACCAGGGAACTTTCCATTTATAGCAATGACCTGACAATAGAATCAAACGAGCAGTTAGAACTCTTGATAGTGTTTTTAGATCTTCTATTTCACTAGTGTTGGATTTTGGGTCTACAAAGACTGAATCTTTTGTCATGCATTTAGGTGGAATTTAAGCAAAACTTTGGATGAATTAAAAACAACTGTTTTTGGGAAAGTAAAAGTGAAATGGGTTTCTTAACGATGAATTTTAAACTATATCCCTGAAGCAAATAAAAAGGGAAGAAGAAGAAAGATTGGAACTTTTGAAAAATCTGGACTTGTTTAGGCATACCCACAAACAAAGATACAAACTTTATCAAAATGTGACAAAAACAAACACCACAATTAGTTGGTGAAGAGGAATGGGTTGTACAATATATATTTCATTTATAGTATACCTATAAAATTAAATTGCAGTAAATCTATTTATTTAGCTCACTGAAACTACAGTAAATCTAAAACTAAGATTTACAAAATTAAAACTATTATGCAAAATGTGGATAAATCTACAAGTAAAACCCATAAAGTCCAAACTTTGTTACAGTCTTTATCAAAAATCTGAAAGAACCAACTTCTTGTGCAATGAATACATTATTAAAAGTTAGATCTTTAGCTCACTAGAATTACATTAAATCTCAAGAATTAATGGTTTTGTAATAACAAAAAAAAAAAAAGCAAAACCTGTTGAGGAACACCAAGTGGAGAAGCGGTAATGTAGGAGACTTCGAAGTTGTAGAAAGCATATGGATCTGCAGCGAAGCAGAAACTGAAGTTCACCAAGAACATAAGAAACAGGATCTTGAACAAATCCATTCTCTTTTCTTAGGTACGAACACAATGATGTTTAGTTGTTTCTTTAAATTTCTCTGTCTGTGAATTTACATTATCAGATTGGAGAAAAGGAAGGATCGAGTGGGAGAAACTATGAGCTATAAAGGAAAGAGACGACCCAGAGAGAAAGAGACAGAAGAGAACGGCTACAATTCTAGTTGCCTAATTAGTTGTTATTTCTTATTATTTTCCGCAAATATTTTACCAGAAAAAAACGCAGAACGCACCTATAAAATCTAAGAAAATAATAAATTAAATGGTTAATTAGCCTTTTCTTTTGTTTTAAATATTACTCCCTCCGTTTCAATTTGGTTGTTATTCTAGGTTTTTGCATTCAAATTAAGAAAATAATTAATTTTACATATTTTCAAAATAAAAACACAACTATACCTATACACTTAACCATTTTTCAACCAATGAAAAAATAGAATGACTTTTAAAATCAATAAATTTTGCACTGAAATTATAAAACGACACTTATTTTGAAACAAAAATTTTACTCTAAAATGACATTTAATATGAAACGAAGAGAGTATTAGTTTAGAACCTTATATTCGAATAGTAATTCCAAATATTTCATATATAACTAAACTACTGAATTAAATTTTTTTTTCCTTTTGACATCACTAGTGAATTAATAGATACCTTATCCCTCATTAGAGAGTTCTAATCTTCTTTTGTCGGTAACCATAACTTTATAAATCGTTTAAAAATTAAAGAGAATTAAAAGAAAATTAGTTGACAGATGAAAAGAAAACAAGCCAACGGATATAATGATAATAGTGACAGCAAGAAAGAATGGCTCCCATATGGTTGACAATTTTAATATTCTTTTCCACCGAAAATGTTTTTTTTTTAATTCATCAAAATGAGCTGCAAATTTGCAACCACAATTTCCACTGTTGCCCGAAAAAAAAAAAAGAAGACCACAATTTCCACAACGAGTAGATCTTATTGACGACGCATTATTGACTGTGGGAATTATTGCTAAGAAATAATGATGCATCGTAGTAATACACTTACACGAGATCAATTGTACAGTAATTAAAACAAATTACAAAATTCATTTAATCATTTTTAATTTATGTACAGGATGTTAAATTAACACTTATTATAAAACAGAACAGATAATATGTAAGGACTATAAAACAGTTTGATTTAGTAATGGAAGTGCATTATGTACGCAATAATCACATGTTGCTCGCGTGCTAGCTTGTTTAAAATAACAAAATAATAGTAACTTTTTAGTTACAGTACTGATTTAATATTTCTTCATTATATTTTATTTATCAGTTTAGGTTACACTGATTAAAAAATATTTAATTTATAAATATTTTAAAATAAAATATCATTATCTATAAAATTAACTGTATTTCAACTAATAAAAATTGAATGATATATAAAATTAATAAATTTTGCAATAAAATTATAAATCAGTATTTATTTAAAAAAATATTATTTTACAATAATAAATAAATTGAAACGAAAAATATTTTTAAATTGAAAAATACATAAAATGTTCACAACAAAAAGAAAAAAATGTTTAAACTAAGATTTGTATTTGACGTTTGACATGAGGCATCTTCAAAGAGATAAGTTTTTTATTTATGAGAGGCTCATGTGGGATAGTTTGGAACTGCCATGTAGCTGCCAGCCAAAACAAATGAAACCCTTCCTATTCTTTTAAGCTTATTTTTTTAGTGATGTAGAAAATACTACAAATTATACGTTTTTGTTTTTATGTAAATAGCATTTTTAATATTTTAAATGAAATTGAATTTTAAATTTTCAAACTTTAGTTATTCCTTTTTTTAGCTAAAAATATTTATATTAATATAAATACTAAAAACCAGAAACATATCTAAATTTGTTGATGTCGGACCAATCTTATAAAACAAACAAAAATTTGAAAATAACACGAGTAATAGATTTATCTGGTTCTCCATAGTGAAAAATAATTAACGTATCATGTTCTGATGTATCAAGTTCCTCGTTACTACGATATGATCTGTTAGGCCTAAGCGTTCAGATACTCTTTCGGATAAGAGTACAATCTATTTGGGTATCGATTTTTTGGGTGTTGAAAAATGGTCCCATTCAGGTATTACAAATAACCAGATCGAGTTCGAGTCGGATCCTCCCGGTTCCGGATGGGTTCGAGTTTTAACTAAAGTAACCAAAGTACTCAATTTTATTCTGATATTTTATATCTAAACTACTCAAATTAATCTAAAAATAACTAAAATCTCAAAACTACTCAATATTTATGGTTCAAATTGGTTATCTTTTGTAGAAAGTAACAATAGATACAATGTTGTTTGGGTATTTTGTATCCAAAACATCAATTTCTATCTATAAATATCCAAAATAATTAATATATTTGATATATCATTTTAATTTTTGGTATTACTATTAGTAAAGATATAATTATAAATATTACTTTTCATATATATTTATCTATTTTGATATGTTCGGATACTCATTCGGTTTTCGCTGCGGGTCGGGTTCGTTCTCGGTTTTTCGGGTTTTGAAAAAGGACCCTTTCAGTTATTTAGACTATATCCGACCGGGTTTGGTACCCTAACTTTCGGGTCAGTACTTTGGATACAGATATTATATCCAGCCCTATGACCTGTTATCAATTGTCATATAAGATAACATATTTTTTGAGGTACTTTTATCGTCGAAACAAAAGTTTGAAGCTTAGTTATACTAAGCTCCAATACCTCCTTCTATTTCTTAATCTTCAATAAATTTTGAGCTATCCAATATCCAAATTTAACTGTGTACTAGTCATTCTTAATGTAATTCCAACTAAATGTATCACTACGATGAATTGAGTTTATGGTCAAACTCCTTATGTAAAGTATATCAGCAGGAATTGCATAATTTTCCAGTAGTTAATCATCTCATTCCGTTGATTCCTGATTAATAAAGTCATTGACTCTCATGTTCGAATGTAATACTAGGACAAAAGGTCGAGCTAGCCTAGCTGGCCTAAGTGTTGTTCATTTGGTTGACACAGGTGGCAGCGTCGGCATCAATTATTTTCATAAATCGTGTTCGTTTTGTTGACGCGGATAATTGCGTTTAGACGTTGCATTTAATGCTGCATCCGCGTTTAGAATTTTTTGATGCTAATTTTATCAGCATTTTGACGCAGATTTCTGCGTTAAGAGATGTAATTTACGCAACCACCCTTACAGTATTTCATTATTTACCAGAAGACCTAACCCTAATTTCTTTTGACGCAGCTTCATTGACGCTGGACGCCAAAAAACTCATCTCTCGTATCTCTCGTCCCTCTCAGACCTTGAATTCTCTTGTCTCTCTCTCAGGCTCTCAGGCTCTCTCACTCTCGATCTCAGACATCTCAAGCTCTCTCTCTCTCTCTCGATCTACCCATCTCTGAAATCATCTCATCTCGAAGCTCCCTTCTCCATGACATCTCATCTCGAATGAAGCCTCGCCTCAAGCTTCGTCCCACTTCGGGTGGTAAGCCTCGCCTCAAGCTTCGTCTCTCAAGCTCTCCCAAGCTTCTCTCACTCCATCTCTAGCTATCTCTCTCTTCTCTAAAGCAAACCCATCTCAAGTTCTCTCTCTTTGAGGTAACAGTCTATTATTCTCTCTCTCTTTGTTCTCTCTCTCTTTTAGCTCTGTTTAATTGTTCATTGTGATGGTCTTTGTTTGATACTGATTGTGATGGGGAAAGAGAATGGGTTTGTTCTGATGTAATCTTTTGTGTCTTCAGTTTACTGGGACTGAATATTATTCCCAAACCCAGCTTGTTGTTGCATCTTGAAGTTCTCTTCTCCAAACCCATCTCTTATTTTTCTTGTTAAGGTATTGGCTTGTGATAGTGTTAAGGGTCTCTTTGGTTTGTGTCTGAATGTGTTGTGTATAGGCTTGTTTATTGATGTTCTAAAGCTTTGAAACTGTCTTGATAAATTTGAGTTCTGAAATACCTTGTCTTGAGCCTAATATTTTTCTTATTCATTGCAACTATCTGATATTGAATGAGATTCCTTGCTTCTTCTTTCTTATCTTATTTCTTAGGTTTGTGTTCATTTGATGTTGTTCTTGAAACCATCTAATCTTTTATCATTTTGAACATCTTTTGCAGGTTCTTTGTTTCCAGATAGTGAAGGTGTTGGAATTCATTGCAAAGAAAGAAAGTCTGCAACTGCCCCACGGTTTTACAGCATTACAAGTACTCTTAGGTAAAATCCGAGAAGCATTACAAGTTATCTGTCTCTGTGTTCCATGATGATAACTTCATGTTCTCATTGCTTATTTTTTCTATTTTTTTTTTTGCAGGTCTCAGGCTGTTACGTTATAGATCACGATTGAGGCTATAAAATAAAACATCTAGCACGAACAAAAAACAGAAGGTAATTGACAACTTTTTTACTGATAAATATATTTCTCAACTAGCCAAGTGCATAACAAACTAAGAAAGATACATTTCGTGTTGAACTTTTTTTGACAAATCAATTATATAGCAATGTCCCGGTTCGCCCTCCAAGTCAAATGCAGAAGCATACAAAGGCAGGAAGCAAGATCCTACAATGAATTTTTTTGCTATATGTAACTTTTGATATGAAGTTCATATATGCATATGCCGGTGTACCTGGTAGAGCACATGATACAAAGGTCTTGACTCATTACGCGAGGAACGAGGCTTATTTTCAACATCCTCCTCCTGGAAAATATTATTTAGTTGACTCCATATATCCGACCAAGACAGGATATCTTGGTCCGCATCGTAATATGCAATATCATCTTGGTCAATTTGTTACAGGAGGACCACCAGTTAGTACATGAGAGCTGTTTAACCGAAAGCATCCAGGTCTGCGATCAGTGATTGAGAGGACATTTGGAGTATGGAAAGCAAAATAGAGGATGTCGGATTGTAAGCATCCAAATTATGGCCTGGTAAAGTGGATTAAGTTGGTGACAGCGACGATGGCGCTACACAACTTCATACGTGATTCACATCGGGAAGATCATGATTTTGTACATTGACAAAGTGGTGATGATGGAGAAGGAGGAGAAAAAGCTGATGGTGACGGTGATGAAGAAGAAGGTGATGATGATGATGATATGATGGTGGTGGACATATTATATATGAGCCGACAGGTGATAGAGTGATGGAAGCTTTGCGTGATAACATCATAAATGAATATGGTAGAGGT